GTATAGACTGGAGTGAACCATTAATTACACTTCAGAGCCCTAGACATGCAATTCCTTCGCTATTGTGAAATGTCTATAGCAAGCAACAAAAATGCTCAGCTCTACAGAAGAACTGAATAAATGAAAGTAATTTCCTTGAGACCTAGACTTCTCTGCCTTTTATGGCTAAAGACTTGAGTTGCCTCGGCATTAATAAGTTTGTTCTTTAGGGCTGAATTTTCTCAATACAAACATCCATGACCATAACACAAAGAAATACCTTCTTTGGCTGATAGAGCCAGCAGCCTGAATCCATATATTAGCGTTATTGTTACCACTGAAGTGGCACAATGCACTCGGCATCAAGTTGCACAAAAAAAGATCAGTTAAATTACAGATCCTCACCAAGAGGCGACAATTTCTTGTAAAAGCCAATTTAGCCATTATGGAAGCTCTGGGATCATATTAACTTTTCTCAAAAGTATGCATAATGCATCACAGCAAGTGCTTTCGACAAGTGCATGAGTGCCTATGTGTGGACGTGTCCCGCATGTAAAGAAACCCCAGAAGTTATTTAAGTTGCAAAGTCAAGTGATGGAAAGTTAGAAAATGCCACATTTTACCGGTGTTCCCTTGCAATCCAGCCTGTGCATGAGAACAAACAGGGGAATTGATGTTATTCTGTGAGACGATGCTCAAGTTTGAAAGCATCTGGTTAGCTGACACTTCCCAACTTTCCAGGTTACTGCACTGTAAAGCAAACAGCTTTTGAGAGTTTGGGGCCTTCCCCCCATCTCTGGATGAAATTCACAGAGGTTTTGACTTTTTCCTGCATTCTTCATCTTTGGTAAAGTCAAAATGTACTGGCATACAGGGCTGCATCACCTCCGTCTCCATGCGTCACTGGGAAGGATGGAGCCTGATCCTCTGTTACTGGAGCACAAAGATACTTTCTGCTACAGCTGGCAGCAGTGAAGGCTGCTATTCCCCCAAAAGCTGCTGCCAGTCCTGAAGCCTACTGGAGCAATGCAACCTGTCCCAGTTAAACCTGTTCTCTTTCCCTACTCTCAGTACCCCTAACAAATGAAGCCACCTGAAGACAAAAGACTACGCAGGGCTGTAGGTGGCTGACAATGGGCACTTCTTTTTGAAAGTATGGGGTCTTTATCAAAATCTCACCTGTTTTGCTCCACATCTATATTTAATTATTCAGTTAAACACTCGCCCTTTGACATATTGGTAAGAGAGGCCTGGACACAGCCCAGCAGATTTGACAACATTCCCATGGGCAGGATTCAAGGCTCATCTGCATCTACACATACTGGTAGGGATAACTGATACAAACAGATGCACTTATGCTTTCCTGTACATATATATAAGGGGGATTGGCCACCACTGGATTTATCTCCACTAAGTACTCAGGTTTACGTGATCACAACACACTCGTTTTGAATATGGAAGAACATAAATGGAAATTAAACCAGTAATATTTCACCGTTAAATAACACTTTTCCCAGAGAATCACAAAATAAGCTCTAGCTTAGCCAAGTGCTTCCACATATAAAATAACCTGTTCCTTACAAGAGAAGGGTCTTCCCTTCCATTGCACAGAGGAAATAGGGTGTGTTAAGTGAGGGCTAGAAAGTCCTGCTAATACTTCACTGCTGGGAGAAGAGGCCAGGACATTAAACATCCTGAGCTCTCTGCAATCTATTTTCCATAATGGTATGGCCCTTGAAAAACTTCAGATATTGCTATTATTTATGTATCTCTGAAATATATTTTTATGCCTCTGATATTGAGAAGAAAAAGCTGAGACATTTATTACACCATGTTAAGACCAAACTATAATTCTGTAATTATAGTGAGAACTGTAATCACAAGCAAGCTAGTTACTGACATTGCTTCTATTTGGCACACAAACAAAACATGCAAAATAGCTGCTGTTGTCTCCTATACTTAGTGATTCCTATGTTAAAGAAAAGCCTTCTGAGTGAAAAGGAATATCTGCACTGTCAGCAGGAGGTAGGAAGGCAGAACACAAGGCAACTGTTTAGGAAAAGCACCGAGAACAGGACTGCCCACCCAGGTTTGCAGGCTTTACTGCAGTGAAAGGACATGAAGGTGACTTCAATTGAGGAGCCTTCATGGTCACGCTGTCTGACATCTCTTTAATGTAACATATTCTTTTGATTTGCTGCATGGGGATGAAAATACCTCCTGAAAAGCAATTAAACTGCTGATTGTTTACTGAAGCAATGCTACTAGATGGAACAAAAGGCTTGCTCTACCAGAATAAGATACTGAACAACAGGAAAATGGAAGTTCAAAGATAAAATGAACTGAAAGATAATATTTCTGATCAAATGTCTTTTAAAAGAATACTAAGCCTGGAATATTACAAGTTCCATGCAGACTTGAGCATAAATTCTCTTTATCTCTTTAATTCCTACTGCTGTATGCAGATCTGAATGTTTTAAATGGAAGCCAGAACAGGGGAAAAATACAGTTTAATACTTTGGGAATACCTGGAATACTGTGTACAGTTCTGTGTCCTCAATATAAGAAGGACATGGGGCTGTTGGAGTAAGTCCACAGGAGGACATGAGGATGATCAGGGGACTGGAGCACCTCTCGTATGAAGACAGGCTGAGGAAGTTGGGGCTGTTCAGCCTGGAGAAGAGAAGGCTGCATGGAGACCTCATAGCAGCCTTCCAGTATCTGAAGGGGGCCTATAGGGATGCTGGAGAGGGACTCTTCATTAGAGACTGTAGTGATAGGACAAGGGGTAATGGGTTAAAACTTAAACAGGGGAAGTTTAGATTGGATATAAGGAGGAAATTCTTTCCTGTTAGGGTGGTGAGGCACTGGAATGGGTTGCCCAGGGAGGTTGTGAATGCTCCATCCCTGGCAGTGCTCAACGCCAGGTTGCAAAGAGCCTTGGGTGACATGGATGTCCCTGCCCATGGCAGGGGGGTTGGAACTGGATGATCTTGAGGTCCTTTCCAACCCTAACTATTCTATGATTCTGTGAATGCAAATCCAGGTAAATGTTTTTATTTACAGACTGGCCATGGAGTTAGACATTAATTCTAACTTCTTAATTTAAAAATTAAAAGTCCTCCCTCTTCAAAAATGAAAAGTTTTGGGAATGGCATGAATGTTAATCACAAGCAGACGGAGAAGGGCTCAGCAATGAGAGCTATTATCAAGAGATGGAGAGATGAGGCCATTGTGCAAGTCAGCATACAAAGTTGGACAAAACAAGTGGATAAAATTCTTCATGTATTAAGAGCTTCCATCTTCTCCAAACTTCCACTCATTTTTCATGGCAAATTCAGTCTGAAGGGTAAGTATCTAGAGACAAGTGCTTCAATTTCAGCATCTAGACCTAACTAGAACCACTTCAAAAATGTCAAAAACGCCACAAGGAAGGCAGGTCTCCCGGTAACTCAGACAGTTAATCATGCAGCACGGCCATATGAGATTCCCAAAATGAGCACGTCAAAAAGCTTATCCGAATGACTCAGCAAAGCTTCCAAGTAACACTGTGAAAGAGCATAATCTGAAGTGAAACATCACTGCACTGCAAATGCTGTCATGCTTCTGACAGCCACTGAGCTCGATCCAAGCTCTGCAACCTTTGCTTTTGTACTTCCTAGTGGAGCACTCTCATTTATCACCTACTTGACCGCAGCAGCTCATAACAGGCTAGGTCAAACCTCACTGGCTCTCATATGCTGATTTTTAAGGGTCTTTGGACCAGATCTGATGCACAAGTCAAGTATTTGCATAACTACAGACTCCATTTTCCCCAGAATAATTCCATGATGGATTTTTATGATCCATCAAGAGAGATGGAGAGATGAGACCACTGCACAAGCCATGACGTGGTATCAAAGCAGATTTCCTTTCTTTGCCACTTCTTTTATCTAGGTTTTCTTTTGTATAGCAAGTGTCTGAGGAAACAAACGCTGAGTCAATACTTCTAAGATGACATGAATATGTAACACAGTTAATGAAATTTGTAGTTAAGCTGAACTTTTGTTTCGCTGCATTTCTTTCTCTTTTTGGCAGCTCTAACTGCCTAAAATCCTAATTCAATTGCAGTCTGCAGCTGTTTTGCTTGGCTAAACTTTTCTTGCCACTTAATAAGATACTTTTTTATTTAACTTTCAGTTCTGCCTAGGAGCCCCAGCGGGTCTTTTAAAACAGAAGATTATTATTAGAAATTAATTAAGTATTCTTTCCAATTCTGCCTCCTGAGAGCAACTAGGCATTGCTGCTGATCTCCTCTGCATTAAGACATTACTGATTGTCATTCATAGGATGACAGTGTGCATGTCTCATCTGGAAGATACATAACTCCATAAATATGAAAGATTTGAAAGGCATTCAATATAAAATAGAATAAATCAGCACAAATAATAAACATATAATTGCAGTGTCAAATGTAGCACAGGGATGGGAAGAATATAACACTGGAATAGAAATAAATATGCATTCCAAAGACAAAAAAAATATCTTATTGCAATCACAGAACCCCGATTGATTACACTCGGTCCTTGCTTCAGCACATTGTAAACCCTGAGTAAACAATTCTAAGAACATCAAATGCAATTAAAGAAAAGGCTGTTGATGTGTTGGGGCTTTTTAAGTGACCAGGATCTACAAAGTGTTTCTTGGCACATGTTACAAGAAGCACAGACCAAGGCTCCCACCTCTGATGGTGGCCTCAAGCTGACACTACCTGGCTTTTTCTAAGTGAACCAAACCAACAAGCACCAGTACCCTGACGCAGGTTTTCATCTGAGCCTTTGCATATGCATATTAATGTATTACTCACAGAATGAGCACACTTCATGCTTGAGATGGCAGTTGGTCTGTTTAATTTTCACTAAACTCAGGGGTTTATGTATGACTAACTGCTGTCATTCTCTAACCACGAAGGGATGTGAAGAAAAGAATGCCACCAGAACAACCACCAATCACTCTCAATAATAATGTGGAATTCAACTTACTTTTTTGGTCTGTAGTCAGGGATGGACCTGTCCAGTGATATCCTGTCACTGAGTTGGGCATTGTAACCATATTCTTCATACTTAGTTTCTGATTCATGGCTATCATCTCTCAGGGTAGCAGCCATTCCTCCCTGGCCCAAGCCTCCTGGACCTTCAACTAATCCCATGGGTTTTGCCAGACCTGAATGAAAAAGACAAACAAACCCCAAATTATTAATATAAAGGAAATGGATCTAAGCTCTTCTGTGACAACAGAATGTTGTTAGATAAATGAAATCTGAACTCCCATGAAACTCAGCTCTAAAACCCTCATGGCTGTGTGGAAATTATCCTCACCTTTTCAAACCAGAGTCCATAGCAACACATCTTGTAGCACCAGTGAACAAACTATAAAGAATCAATTAGAAGATTTTAGGATTTCTCCTTTTTCCTGTATAAATCCCTGGAAACAGGAATCTTGATTCCATACATTCCAAAATGCCTAATTATTTGTAAGGTAATTAAGATAAATTTGCTTCATAAGAACTGGAGGCCAGGCCCTCTCCCACTACAGACAATTATAGCTCCATTCATTCACTGAATTTCTTCCACATGTAGAGCTGCCAGTTTAACTCCATACTAAATGTCAGTTCTGGAGTAAGTTTTGGAGCTGAGACATCTGCTCTGTGGCTCTAAGAGTACCTGCAGCTCCTGAAAGGTTCAGGTTTGGTTCCCATGCTGGGAATACAGCTGTGCAACAGGTCACCAGCTGCTGCTGGGCTGGAAACATGGGGGAAATCCAATTTCCCTGTGTGAGTCAACAGATGGGTCATTTGGACTCAGCTGCACAATTGCCCTGTCTGTTCCCACAAAGATACGCTAAAACTATTAGGGAGCTGACACCATCTCTCACTTGGGAATTACTCCAGATTTCCTGTGTCCTTCAGATCTCTGACAAATGAAATGTGTGTATTATACAAGATACTCAGCTCAATACAGATTACAGGATCAGAAAGTCTGGACACAGCTGAGCTAAATCGATTAGCCCCACTTGGTTAGTGCTGAGACATTAGCCAGTCAGTGATGCACTTATAGGTTTCATCAGTGGTATATTACCGGTAAACTCAGAAATACATGTAAAACAAAACTAAACTGACATTAAAAATGCCCACATGATCACATCACCAAGAACCTCTTCCACAGCAACAGGCATTTAACTTGGTGCTGAATTCTCATAAATAAGCTCCTCAAATATCCTGTGTTTAATGTCAAAGCTTTCCTTTCCAAAAGGCTCGCTATCAACAAGTCATTATAAGCGAAAAAGAGATTTATAACAGCCTTGGGAATACCATACAGACATGTGCAAATATCCTCCAAATCATCCCCAGTGCAGAGAGCAAAACAATTAGTGTTTGACCTACTCAACATTTTGCTAATTAGGATTCTTTCAGGAGGAAGATGTCATTATTTCAACGAAACAATTAAAGAGATAGACAAAAAACTGTCAACGTTTGCTCGCAGCAAACATGTAAGGCAGTACGAAGGTGGGACTGGCTTCTCCGAGTCACAGTAAGGACAGTTCAGTCCCACATGAAGGAATGTGTCTTGCACCTCATTGCTAACATTGTCCCCTCACTTGTTACAGCTTCATCATCATCTCTGCCTAATCACAGGATAGAACAGACAGCTGTTCATTAGTGGTCTGAAAGAGTAAAATCAGCATTTTCCGCTGTAGTGCTTATGAGAAAACCCTTTGCTAAGGTTAAGGGCAACGCTACAAATGGTCTGAACCAAAAGAAGGAGTACCTGCAGCACCTGGGAATATTGATACTGTATTTCAGACATTGCCTAAAAAATACATACCTCACACTCCAATCAGTGATTCCAAGTCAGGACAGACCTTGTTTGTGTTTGTGTCTTTGATGTCTTCTTCATGCTCCTCCTCATCATGCACTGAAATGCTCAAGTGCCTCAGAGTGAATCGCGAGTTTTAGCAGGAAGGGGGAGGGCAGAAGAAATAAAAAAGAAAAAACCCTACAGAAAAACATTCTTGGCGTGGCCAAGCTTTTGAAAAATTCAGAGAGCTCCAAGCATTCAAGCATAGCAAGCTGTTGTAAAGAAGGGAAGAGAGGCTCATGCAGCCATGTCCTCATTACAGGTGTCTGTGGGAGGTGAACTCTAGGTCTCACTAGCAAGGGAGATTGAACAGAGGCATGTGGCCCCCAGGCCACACACCCATGAAGGGAAAGCAGGAAGACAAAGTTTCAAAACAGCATCTCCTTTCAAGGCTATTGTATTACCGGGACACAGAGAGAAAAGACCAAAGCACTGAGCTACTGGGATTGACGCTGATGCTTAATCAATAATGAATTTCTTCAAAGCACTAAGTGAAACAAAACACTAGGAAGAAGGAAAGGTGTGCTCAAGGCAAGGGAACGTGGTATCAGTAAGCAGCTCTCTTCTTCAGGCAGTCACACTGCCAACCTAGGATCTTCAGTCTTTGATGGCTTATCCCCCAACATTCAGTAATGCAAAACAGAGCCCTCCAGCTGCTTAATGACTACTCTTCCTCCTGGACCAGCTGTGTTTTCTTCCTCTCCCAAACACGTTTTCTTTCAGTAAGGTATGCAACTATCCCCCAAGACAAGTAGGAAAGTGCTCATGTCCTGTCTCGAGCTCACTAAGCACAGAACTTCAATACACATTACGTATTTCTGGAAATATTTTAGGAAGCTTCATTTTGAAGGAAATCGTAACATTTGTCCCTTTTTTCCCAACTGAGGACAAGAGGCTCTTTGGCACTTTGATGAGCTTTAGTAGTTAATGTTACTTCATTTAGAAGAATTAGAACAGAAGGGCCTGACAGTGTTGCCATCCCTGGCCTGACAATGACTCCTTGCTCAAGTAATGAAAGAAATTACATGTCTGAGAATGTAAATCTCTCCCCACCCAAAAAGAGAACCATGGCAGCCTAAGATCCCTGCATGATACAGTCTTAGACACTAATAGCAAGCAGTGAAGTGGCATGCCTCTGCCTTACTTGCCCGGTATACGGCATCTTAGAGGGGGGTTCAGTTTCACAGGGAAGTCAGCAGTTCCCTCAAAAGAAAAAGCACAAACAGGCCTTACTAAAAGGGAGTCAAATTAGGCACTTCAGAATGCAGAAAACTAGACACTTCATAAAGCCTGTGTCCTTGAAAGACTGCAGTGTGGAAACTCATTTGCTGATCATTTGGAATCATCTGGGCTGGGTTCTGATGTTACATCAAAGCAAATCGAAGACAACTTCATTAAAGTTAACTGACCTGCTTTGATGAAAGGGTCTCCAAGATGTGCTGTGCTCATTTGACTTTAAGCAACAACTGAAGTCCAGGAGTTGAAAACTTTATTCTTGATATTATATGCTCTTGCAGTTGATGGAACAAAACACTTGCATATTTATGACACAAGTCACAGGGGAATGAAACTTTCAACCCACAGGAAGCATCAAGCACTTTGCTATTTTTCTTACAGAGAATACAGTATTTTTCTTACAGACTATAATTCTCTCTATAATTCTTACAGAATTAGGTAGGCAGCCTTCTAAACCATGCATAATAATTATTTCATATACATTTTTTCCTAATCTGATATTCTAGCTCTCCATGCTGCTAATCTGACCTTGTTTCAGGAAAGAGTCATCATGTGTCTAACCCTCAGAAGATATTGCTGCGAAGTTTTCTCCACATTCATTACCCAAATTTTAGCCTAGTCAGACTGACAGTTACAGCAATGCAGTAACACTGACCAATCTAGAAGAGCAATTAAATAAATTGTATCACATTGCTCCATTCCTCCAGAAAAGCACTAAAATGTCTCTAGGATTTTTTAGGAGTGAGAAATATATTTTATATGTGTATGTGTGCTAAATGCAGCAATTACAGGCAATGTTCTTCAATGCATGCTTGGTTAGCTAGACACAATATAACTACGTCTCATAATTATGTTACCCTCTCTTGGATAACATTTCCATAGCATTTGTCATCTCAAAGGATTACCTGTTGCTGCAGCAAATGTTTCTTCATCAAAGGACTTTGCTCTGTGATGACCCAAGTCAAAGTTACAACTTGGTAACCCCCAAATCCACAGTAATCTGCACTGGTTAGACTTTCGTGAAGCAAAGAGAAAAGGGGTGCCAGTTCAGCAGCATCTTCTCATGAAAAGGTTGGTCTTCAGAGATAGGATCAGAAGGCAGGCAATGGGCTACAGTGTCCCCTCAGGTCTGGCTGAAGCAGAAGCTGCTGGTGAACAAGATGCACCTTCTAGCACATCCTCCAGACCCTCATCTGAGAGATGCCCAGCAATCTGGGGACCAGAATCATTTCATCAGGGGCCTTCCAGCATGCTGGACATAGGAACAACACCTGGGAGGACATGCAGGAGCAGAACACTCTACAGCAGTTCTACAGCAGGATGCACAGAATGGTTGCCAAAGACAGAATTAGCAAAGAGCAAGTTGCTTGTGCTCTAGGGCTTGGGTGTTTTCTGCTCAGCAAAAACCAGCCAGCCTTCAAGGACAGCTCATTTGCATGGGTCTCACCTACTGGAACAACAGGGAAGTGGATGCATTTCTGGAAATACTGCTGCTTGGCCGAAAGACAATTGCTATTGATTGTATATGCTGGGTGTTTAGGTCCTACGGTGATGGGGAGCACTATAAAACCTACAAAAGACAAATGGAGAAGAGCTTCTAGTTCAACACCCATCATATACCAGGGGTTTAACCAAGGCGGATCAGATGAGAGCACTTTTCTGCTTTCTCCTTCCTCTAAACCTTACTGCAGGCTTCCAGATCCTCCTCTTATCGCTGATATAGCTCTACCTAGCACCCATTTCACCATTTTCCATGTGAAGCCATTGTAGGCAGGGTACAGCGGCATTGCTGACAGTGCAACCCTGTGGCTCATGTCAAAGCGAAGGATTGAAATCATGCTGCCAGCTCTGAAATGGTGATGGGCAGAGAGGGACCAGTGGCTATGCCCAGCAAGCTGCTATTTTTACAGCTGTCTTTTCTATCAATTTTTAGACTAAAAAGATCTACAGCCCATAAGCTGGGATTGGTCATACCCAGTTCACCGCTGCAGATGACAAGGGGGTCACAAATAATTATTGTCTGTCATTCATTTCAAATTTACTGCTCTCACTGCAGAGATTTCTGTGGAA